CGGGTGGACCCGCCTCGGCCCCGGAACCGCCTCCCCGCGGGTCACTTTTGGGTCCTCTAAAAGTCGGACCCGGACCCGGCGGGTCCGACCCGGACCCGGACCCGACCCGCCCCGTGGCCATGTTTAAAGGCGGTTATGGAGTCGGTATGTATGGAGGGTGGTTATGAAGGCAGTTAGGGTGGTGGTGGTGGTGTACGCATTTACGGTGGGGGGTGGGTATGCAGAAAGACGATGGCTATGGCGGGCGGCGGTTATGGCAGTTGTGGTTGCATATCTACGGTTTCGTTTATTTATGAGCGTAAATGACTATGAGTTATTATGGTTTACTGTGATGTCTACAGATAGATGGCGACTAGGGTTAAAGATGAAGTTAGAGTTTTCAAATTGTGAGTATGGGTGACTATGATTACTATGGGTGTCGGTAGGTGACTACGACATAATTGTTTTTTAAAAAAAAATCATAATTTTTAATACTATGTAGAAAAAGAGAAAAAAAATTAGATTTTTATAATACTGAAAAACATCGAAATGAAAAAAGAAAAAGAAAACGTGTTCTACCTAAAAAAAAATAATAACAAAAATGTTATATGGAAAAATGAAAATATTAAAGGACCTTTAAATACTATTTGGTGCAGATTTTTTTATTTCTTTTGTGTGTGCAGTGAGTGAATGATATTTTTGGAATGAATTTTATAAAGAATGTGAAACAAATATTTAGTTGACTTGTCATTTAGTTCTAATAAATTTTGGGTAAATGGCAAATAGGCCCATGACAAGGGCACTTAATTAAAAGAGGGACATCCAACTTTTTTATCTTTCAAATAAATCCAGCCAATTCAAATTTATTTGCAAATAAGGAAAATCCCTTTATATATACCAAAATTACCCCCAATTCATTGAAACCCAATTCAACTCCAATTTCATGATTTACACCCCAATTTAGCCCAATTTCATCAATTAACCAATTTTAACCCTAATTTTAATTTTGACCCCAATTTTGACCCGCCACCACCGGAGACCGCCGGTCGCCGCCGTTGACCGGCATTGACTTTTTTTTTTTTTTTAAAACTTTTTTTCCCTATAATTTTTTTTCCGGCCAGTCAACTGCCGTTGACCGCGGTCTCCGGCGTTGACTTTTTTTTTTTTTTTTTTTTATAATTTTGTTTTTTCTTAAAAAAAATATTTTAATTAATATTATTGTCTTGGCTGCTAAATTACTGTCTCTGGCAGTTATTTAACTTTCGGAGACAGTAATTTAATAACTCTCGGAGACAGTAATTTAACTGTAAATTGACTTTTTTTTTTCTTCAAAAATATTTTAATTAATATTATTGTCTTTGCTACTAAATTACTGTCTCCAACAGTTATTTAACTGTCGCAGACAGTAATTTTATCCGTTAATTGATTTTTTTTTAAATATTTTAATTAATATTACCGTATTCGTTGCTAAATTACTGTCTCCAGCAGTTATTTAACTGTCGGAGACAGTAATTTAACTGTTAATTGACTTTTTTATTCTAAAAAATATATTTTTAATTATAATTACTGTATTCGTTGCTAAATTACTGGCTCCAGCAGTTAGTTAACTGTCGGAGACAGTAATTTAACTGTTAATTGACTTTTTTTTTTTTTTCTTAAAAAAAATTATTTTAATTAATATTACTGCCTTGGCTGCTAAATTACTGTCTCCAACAGTAATTTAACTGTCTTAGACAATAATATTACTGTTCGGGAAAATAATATTCATAATATTACTGTCCCAAACAGTAATATTACTGTCTTTACTGTCCCAAACAGTAATATTACTGTCTGAGACAGTAATTTAGTAGTTAAGATAGTAATATTAATTAAAATATTTTTTTAAGAAAAAAAAGTCAACGCCGGAGACTGGGTTGACCGGCTGGAAAAAAAATTCAGGAAAAAAAAGTTTTCAAAAAAAAAAAAAAAAAAGTCAACGCCGGAATCTGGCCGGAAAAAAACATTTTAGAAAAAAAATTATTTTCTGAAAAAAAAATATTTTGGGGGGTTAATATGATATATTTGTTTAAATCCGGGGTCAATGTGTAATATTAAGGAAGTTAGAGCATAATGGGTAGAATTGATAAGAATTATATTATGGAGGGTATTTTAGTCTAAAGACATGTGATGGGTTTAATTGAGAAACTTTTTTTTTTTGTGGACCAAAATGCATTTAAGTCCTATGTAATGGCCATTTTTGCCATTCGCCCATAAATTTTTGGACATGTATCTTAATACAATACTAAATCAACATAGCTGAATGAAAAAAATTTAAAAAGATATGTAAAGAGAAGAAAGTGTGGCATGAGGAAAGAGGACGACAATCAAACCATGCGCAATAGCGCGGTCCCTCCTCAAATTAAACCAATTCCTTTTTACTTACTTCTTTCTCTCACTACCCACTGGCCACTACCATACCTCGTAATCCCTACAACATATATAATAATATTCTTAATTATATATTTTATTGTCGTCTTCTTCTCCTTCCTTAATTTGTCTTCTCCAACACTCCCATATTTATTACATACCCTTTCTTCTAGCTATCTGTCGCAGGTGAGCTATACCCTTGCATCATATATACGTATCTCTATTTTATAATTTCTTCATTTTATATATATATATATATATATATATATATATATATATATATATATATATATATATCACGCGCGGAAAATAATATTAATGCGGGTGGTATAAGTTTTTTTCTACCCACGAGGGAAAAAGTTTGTTGAATTTGCACTTGTTATGTAAACTTGGACAAAAATACATGTGTCCATAATGGACACCTCTCTCTCTCTCTCT